ATTGCCTTTATTGACAATTACTGACAAAAACATATTATTTGAGAGAAAGTTATTTTTTATATAATAAGGAGATAGGAGAAAACAAACTAAAGAAAAGCTATTAATGCCTAGGGATCGAACAAGTTAATAATCTCATCTCTTTTTAAAAATTCACGAGTTTAGATATTGAGACAACTCGTTCTTGACAAAATTGAATAATCTTCAAAAGTAAATATTTTTAAAATTATATTAACTAATATAATTTTTAAAAGTAAAGATTTGAAAAAAAATTATATTGATTTAATTATTTAAAATTAAATATTTTTAATCATAAAAATTGATATCAGTTTTAAGATTAAAATTATTTAATATTTTGTATTTCCATTGAAGTCCTTTAAAGATGTTTATCTATGTATCTATATTTTAATATGTATAATGAAAAACTTACTATAAAAAATTCAAAACCAAATGTTTCTTGTAGATAAATTGAATACATTAGGCTTTCAAGTTGTAAATAATAAAATGATGGTCATAATGTAACATCCTAAATTTTTCAATTAGTAATTATCAGTTTCTAAGGATAAATTGGTTAATTTAAATAAATTATTGACTAATGAGGTTTATGAGAGACTAATATAATTTTTAAAATCTTGAACAGCCTTAGAAGAGGGTTAGGTTAATGTTTAAACGGGCCATGACACGGAAGAGAGTTTAAATTTTTGTGAAACTTTTTGTGCCATGCGCCGCCGTAGGTGTGTTGATGCACCACGACGCACAAGCAAAATCAGCACTTATCAGATCGTAAATTAGACTAAAAATTAGAAGAGAGGAAAGGGTGAACTCGAGAGTGGCAACAGAGAAGAGCTTGTAGTTGCTAGGGCTTACTTCCAATGTGATTTTAGAGGCCTTACAAGCTTCATATATATTGAGTAAGCTTTTCTTTCTTTTTCCTCTCCCTCATTATGCGAAAATGTGAACATTTGGGGCAATGGGGGTTTTGATCTCGGTTTCCTTGGGTTTAGACTGAACCCTTTGATTTATTTAAGGTCTTGAAGAGTTAAATCAAGTCTCTAACCCTAAGTTTATAAGTTTTATGGTGATTAGAAATTTTTATTGAGGGTTTGGATGAATCTTAGGTATAATTTGAAGATTTTGAGATAATGTGGGATATTGATTAGTGATTCTAATATATTGGGATGTTTAACAGGATAGTTAAAGTGTTTGGAAATGATTGATGTTGTTAGAAAAAGAATTTGAGTATTTTAAACACTTAGAACCTAGTGAATTTGGAGTTATCTGAAATGATAATTGATGATTATCACTTGATTGTGTAAATTGAGTGTTGCTCGAGCTACCTCGTGAGTATAGAACGTGTAGAGCTAATATTAAGCCACGATAACCCTTTTGTGTGACAAAGGGTTGAGTTAATGGAATAATTTATACTATTGGATTATATTGCTTAACTGTCTATGAGTAGATATGTTAAATTTATTACTTGGGATTTGATAACCTTGTATATTGCGAAATGTGGTTTTGTACATGAAAAACTATTTAAAAATGATGAGAATGATGAAAGTTTTATATGGACTAGTTGAGAAACTTCAAACATACATGTTTTATATATGATGAGTGTGAGCATGATCATGTTAGGGGGTAAGAGTTCACCTGTAGGAAGGAGTAGTGAAAGTACATATAGCATGTATCTCCTTACTGTCTAGTGAGGCACAGTGTTGGAGATTTTCTCCTTAGTATCCATGCGGGATATGGCATTGGAGAGTGATGCTTCTTAACATCAATGATGCGGTGTTAGAGTAACAACACCCCAATTCGTGTGCGATAGGAGGAGACCATAGTTCAGAAGTACGATAGGATACCTTTAGCCGGGTAATCCTACCACCGAAGGTGAGCTCGGACCATTGTGAATGTGCACTTAGTCCAAGAGCCTATGGTCTCAGCCGGAGTGATATAGAGGCTCCGATGGTAGAATGATCATGCTAGTGGTAAATGATTTGCATTGATGAAAAATAGTATGTTATAATATGCAAAAGTATATTTTGGTGTTTTAATAGCTTTACCCTCTAATGGTTGTGCATGTTCATTAATAGTAGTGAATTATTTTATTACTGAGATATTTATCTCACCCTGTAGCTATATTTTATAGGTAAAGGCTCCAGTAGGGGCAAGGGAAAGGAAGGGGCAACTGAAGAGTGAAGAGCGTTGTAGTATAGCTCTTCCCCTTCTCTTGTAAGTTTGTAATGAATATTGTCAATATATAATGCTAACTTAGGAACATAATATTATTTTGGGATATCACTGGCATGAATTTATGATAAGTGTGCGTATATTGGTCCAAGGTTGATGTCGTGTGTGCTTGGCCAAGTTACAATTACAAGTGATATAATTGAAGTGATTTATGTGCCAAAATGATCAAGTTGATATGTACGTTAAATTTTATTCACCCCTTTGTGCCATTGTCAAATGAGAATTTAGCAATCATTTTGAGTGTTATTGCTTATTTGTGTGATATGAATAAATTGTCATGTTGTGTGTGGTCTATTTGGGGTGGTCTTGTCTTTGGAGCTAATAGCATTTAGCATTATGAGTTGGACACTTTTAAATGCGTTTTGAGGTGAACACGAATCATTTTGGATTTGAGTGTTCATCTTTTAAACGAATGATTGTTTGGGTGTAAGACCCATGCCATTAGTTAGAGGGTTCGAATGGCAAAACGGCGTGTTCCAGAAGTTCAGAGAGTTGTCATGACATTAGATGCACGTTGCGTCGCAAGTGGCATTTGAGGGACTCGACCCTCTGTGCCATCTGCCATGACGGACGGGCCAAAATTTGGAGAATTTTTAGATTTGCTTTGGCTTGTTTCAATTACTGTTTTGATTTCTGTGCTTCCATTACCATATTTAATTAATTTTGAACTATGGTTTGAGCTCAAACAATATTTTAAAAAAGGTTTTCTTGGGATCCCATTATTTTAACTAATTATCTTTTAAACCCTTGAGTTGTGATAATTTTTATTTGAGATTTTATCTAATCCTAATTATCACAATGGCATGTAAGAGTATTGTCCTGATAATGTCAAGGTAGACATCACACATAGCATGGCCATTATAATTATTTAATATTATGCACTTCCTTTCCAGTTCTTTAAACATGTTTATCTATGTGTCTATATTTTAATATATAATGAAAAATTTACTATAAAAAATTCAAAACAAAATGGTTATTGTAGAGAAATTGAATAGATAAGGCTTTCAAGTTTTAAATAATACATGAGGCCGTGTGATAAATGTATATATTGTGGCTTTTTAAGTTGTTGTTGACCTTATCTTAGCTTTCTATACTTGTAATTCAACTGTCTTAAATAAAAGCATAATTTTCATACATATGAGAGAAAATAGAGATGGAGATGTCTACATGTTTGATGCTGTTTCTTCATGATGTTCCCACAACAATTATTGCAGGACATACAAAAAGCAAAAATTTGCCCAATTGCCTTTTTTTTTTGGTTTTCGACCCAGTATCCTGGAAAGTGTGGGTATCCTGGGTTCATTGCTCACCCATCTCATTTCAAACTAATCTGGATCCCTGTGTATGTTAAGCCTTTAATGTGGTAGTTTTGCGAGTGCCACTGGCAAGACATACTTTGTGTGCTCAGCTACACGGCTGCATACCTAGGGGCTTGAACACGAGACCCTAAATTAAGTTATCTAAGTCCCTAACCACTCAAACAAGCACCTATTGGTTGCCCAAGTGCTTTTGTCTTGAGCAATAGGCTTCATTTGGGTCTTAAGGAGTGGGCTAATAGGTTTATTTATTAGGTAATGGGTTAGTAAGGAGTTTGAGTTTATTTCTACATTTATATTGGATTAGGTTGGGATTAAGGTTATATATTTTATAAATAAATTAATAGTATTTTTTTAATAAGATCTTGTTTAGGTTCAATTCTATTTTTAGTGTTCAAAATTGAAACCTGAACTGAATTAATCAATTGATTCTTATATCATAAAAATCGAAGCAAACTTGATTGTTGTCTGGTTCTAGTTGATCCTTTTAGTTGGGATCAATTTTAAATACCCTTATTTCACCTCATAGATGCGGCTTTGTTTGACCATTTTTTGTTGTCTTTGTTGTTAGTTAGTTTTCTTTAGTGTGGTTTTGTTTTGCTTTGCTTTCCCTTTGTACAAAAAAGAATAATATATAAGTATTTCCTTATAATTTTTCTTAATCTTAAATTAGATTTTGCAACTTATTTTATTTTAATTAAATTCTTCTAGTTTGATATATTAAATTTATTAATCCTTAAATATTAAAATCCTTGATTTTTATGAAATAAATAAAATAAAGAAATTTTAGAATTGTATTAAAAATTATATAATTTAAGAATTAAATACATAATTTTATAACTCAAAATTTATATAATTAAGTTATTCTTTAAATAATGTATGCATATAGAATTTTTATAAAAAATATAACTATGTAATTCTTTAAAAATAAATTTAAAACGATGGTTACATTTTAAATTGAAAAAAATTGTTTAAGATTTATATACTATGGTAATTATTCTTATGGGTTAGATTTTTTTACTACTGTTATTTTTATCTAAATTTTTGGCTTGTAAGGGTTTAGTATTACATTTAATGCTCAACCATATTTTAAATATAATTACTTCTAATAGAAAGATACATGTATGCAATAAAAAATATTATCTGTTTTCAACATTAAAAATATTATATTTATTTGAAAAATAATTAGGCGTTGAGAAACTTAAAAAATGAAACAAGTAATCATTTATGAACTTTATGAAAAGTTAACTTTGAAAGTTTAATTTAATAATATAACCCAAACTATCTCTGAATTGCTAATGATACATAATAATTGTTTACCTCAAAATATATTGTCTTTGTCTATGCCTATCAACACATGTTCAATATCCCTTCATAAATTTAAGGTAAAATAAAAATTGAAGTTTGCAGATTCAACTCAAAGTGACATTATGAAAACCATGGTTTGGAAGGGTATAATTTCAGCTTATGGATGGAATTTTCAGAGCAACCAAACATGATTGGAGGATAAACAGAGTTTTCTAAACCTCAAGTTGGATTTTTGAGCAAAAATCTAAACATGTACTATATTATCATCAACAACATTTAGCAAACAAACGGGATAAGAGCCTTAACATGTTGAGGAAAATCTTCAAACTTGGAAAGATACCATCTTCTAGTCACATAGCTTCTTCCAATCAAGTAGAAAGTTGTGCCCACAGTGAAGCAGAATGCATGGAGCGTCTGAGAAATGAGACAAATCCCATATAACCCAATAAGCTCAAAAAGATAGTGAGGGCATATCACTAGGCCAAATAAACCACCCTTGGGAATCTTATATTCCTTCTGATCATTTTCTCTCAATTTAGAAAGGATATAATGGTGATAGAAGTTGCCAGTAATGCCAATGAGAAACAATGCAATCCCAAGATACTTCAGATCAATTGGTGGCTCTGGAACCCCCAGTGTGAGCTGCTGCGCATACAGCAGAGTAGTAGTGAACAGGAAATAACTCAGGCAAATGGGGATTACAGAATCAAGAATCATTCTCCCACTATATTTATGTACAAACAGAACCTGCAAAGAAAGTGAGGAACAAAACAGCATTAAAAAAAAAAAAAAAGATTGCAGAATCAATAGTATAACTCAGTTTAATGGGATCACAGAATCAAAATTTGAGAATCATATGATATACCCACTATATTTGTGAACAAAAACTGATACTGTTAGACAAAAAAGTAAATAAAGTGATTTGTTTAAGTTAAAGTTTTAAGGTTTATGAGTGTAATTGTTATGAAATTAATATGTAAAGACTAGAGTGATATTTATAATTTGTTGAGTGCCAAATCATAAATATCATAAACTTAAGTTTATAAATAGGAATTATGATCAATGGATTGGCCGATGGTTGGAAACATTTTCTATTATCCTTCTTAGAGACATTCATATTACATATTTTATTATAAATTATAATCATATTATATTCTATATATAAAAATTGTATAAATCCAATATTCCAATTTAAGATATCATTAGGTAATGATATATTATTAAGGATAATAAAATATCATGTGTGTTGCCCGAATCAATTGATTATATCTAGGTTTAGGGCTTTGCTCGATCTAAAATAAATAATAAAATAGCCTTGATGGTATATTATAAATAGAAGCTTATAGATTGAGTTAGCGTATAGTAAATTGTTATGCTCTAAGTCACGGCTCTTTTCCAATTTCAAACATTGTTCCTATATACTAGTCAAAAGAATCACTCTCATATCTATCTCTTCTAATTCTCCCTTTCTTTTGCTTTTTAGGTGTCGTGACACTAGAGAGATTCTACTTCAAATCATCTAGTAATGGTGAGAGGTAACATTAAGTCTTCTGCTGCACTCTGTACGTAAGAAGTTTCTCTAACAATTCAAAAATTTTCTCTTGGAATCAACAATCTAGAAAACATGGCCGTTTGTGAGTCTGTAATCAAAGAAAGGCAATGAATTCAGGTATGTTTGCATGTTCTATCTCTATTTTTTGAGAATTGATATGAAAAAGATTATATGGGGTTTCTAGGTTCTATTTTATCCAATCCATCGTACCTTATAGGAAATAAACTAAATCTTTATCTTGAAAAAACCACAATTTTTTATATAGTGTACTGTGATTAACGTTAAATATTTCCAGGAAAAAAAATAAGGACCTATTTTTTGGACGATATTGGCCATTGCATGTGAATAAGACCAGTTTCTTCTATGCTCTTTTTCCAATTAGATAACGCAGAGCTTTCTAAAGAAATAGAGTACAGTTGAGTTTTAAGCCTTCTCGCTTAAAACATCAAAGCCATATATAATGTAACCACGTCAGGAAGTCATGCGTTGGAACTCTCTGCCGTGGGACACGATCTAAAATGTGGACACAAACATAAAACCCAAAATCTAAAATCTCCGCCATAACCATTTCGATGATACTCCTTTCAGTCCTTCGGTTCCTTTTATAAGTAATTCTTACCAACTTTACTAATAAAAGAAATAAAAGTTTATAAAATTTTAAATATGTTTTCATATAAAAAATCTAAAACGTAATGTTATATGACTTTTTTCTCTTTCATAAAGGGATAATTTTAAAAATATTTTTTAAATATTATCTAAAACACTTCACAAATAAACCTTCTATTTCTAGAATGTGATATATAAATGAAACTAGAGGGAGTATAAATTAAAATCTCTTAAAAAATTAGCCCAAAAGCAACATTGGTTGTCAGAACATTTGTGAATGGTGGATTTACATTAATTAATTATTTTTTTTATTAAAAAATATGAGTCATTTTTAATTAAATTTTACCACCAATAAAGTAATTATTTGTCTTTAAATTAACTCTATCTTTTTATATTTATTTCTATTTAATAGAGTATTTTACCTTAAAAAAATATCAAGTAATTTATTCAATAAGGGCACTTAAAAAAAAATGATTACTCTTTAAAAGACTTAAAATGCATTACATTTTTTAATATTCAATTTTTTAAAAAATACTTTATATTTTTAAACGAAAGAAATATGAGTTTCAAACTTGGTTAATTATTGATCTTTATGATTTTGCTAAGATTATAATAAATGAACCACGCAAGCAAGCCTATTAGAAAGAGGCTCAGTTTACAACACTTTAGTAGTTTTATCTTTGTCACAAAACTAATTGAGTTAGAAAGCTTCATGAGAGAATTAATTAACTAACTAATTATATTTAAGTAATAATTGGCTAATGTTAAATAGGTTCAAACTTTCATCGTCTATGGCAGAGTCAATCGCTCTGTCTTCTTCTATATACTCTCATTCTCTTTGTTCTCCTGAAAAGCTGAGGAAATCTATTAAGCTGTGAACATGGCCGCTCTTGAAACAATTGAGATCCTTACTTGAGTCTATTTTGTCTAGATCCTCAATATGTCTAGACCGAACCCGTCATAACAGAAAATGAACCAGATTTTGATACCTCAAAGCCAGTTTTGATTCAATCTTTATTTAATTGTATTCGATTTAATCATTTGGTTCAATTAAACACCCTCTAAACCGCAAAAAATAAAATGAAATAAATTTGAATTATAATTGAAAAAGAAGTAAAGAACGCTAAACTTCAAGCAACAAATACTAATTTCTCAAGATACGAACAAAATGCTATTCAACATTTTAGTCAGAGAATTAAGGCGTTACCTCCAAGATCCTCTTGAAGAAATGGAGGGTTAGAGAAGCTTGAAGGAGGGTTGTCCGGAGACTCTCATTTGGAAAGACGAAGAAAGAAGCGGCGCCGGCGATAAACGCCGGAGAATAGAGCAGAAGCATCCCTGATTTACCGGACAGCTGAATCTTCTTCTTCTCCGAGGGATTGACATTCCAGAATTTGGAATACTGCAAATGCTTCCCTTTGATTTCGTTAAAGCCAGCACGAGTCGTTGACACGAAGCTAATCACCGACATCGCCGTGACGAAGAGAGAAGGAGGCGGCGGAAACAGGAAGTTGAGAAGCAGCAACGGTATTGCCATGATCGCCCTCACGCTCTTCTTCCTCTGTACGTTTTTTGAACTGAATTCTTCCTCTGTACGCGAGTTCTTCCTTCTTCTTAAAGGAGTCCGGTTACCATGGTATTCCTGATACTATGAGCAATCTGAATCTGAATTATTTAGATTTTTAATCTCAATCGTTCAAATTAAAAAATTGGACTGTCAAAATTTTAAGATTTTATTTATATATTTTTATTTTATATTTATTATAAAAAATTATAAAATTTTAATAAATATATCTTATCATCAACATGAACAATACAAATTTATTTTAAGTAAGTTAATTTAATATTAAATTTTTTTTATAATTTTTATAAATTGAATATTTAGATGTATTATGAATAGTTGGAATTTAAAATTTTTAAGTTGTAATTTTTGTTTAATTTGTTAAAGTATCAATTTAAATATTACCTTTATTTTAAATTTTTAATATTATATTTATTAAAATAAAAATTTAAAAAAAGTTTATTATTAAATATAAATGTCCAAAATACATTTGGACAGTAATTTATAAAAATTATAAAAAATTTTAATATTAAATTAGATCATTTAAATTAAATATGTATTATTTAAATTAATAATAAAATATATTTATTAAAATTTTATAATAAATATAAAGTAAAAATATAAAAATAAAATTTTAAAAATATGAACCGTTTAAATTTTTAATTTGAAGAATCTAGATGCTCGTTGAAACCAAATGCCTTCTTAAAGACGGGAGTGCGTGACAGTTAGAAGCATTTATAGCACAACTTGTCTGAATTGAATTTCAAATGCATGGGTGTTTGCATTCATAATTTTTAAAATAATTACGACTTTTAAATCTTCTTTAAAACTAATTTTGCATGAAAAATTTTATAAAAATCAATATACTACTGCTAGATGCTAGTCGCTATTTAACATGTGTTTGATTTTTAATCTATTAAAAATTTATTTAATAAAAATCAATTGTTGTGACAAAATTTATATTTAAATATATTTTTTAAAAAATTAATTTAGTAAATTAAAAGTTTTTGAGATTATGATAGTAAAATATACTTTTAAATATAAAATTATCAAAAAAAATTAATTTATGATGATTTATAATTTTTATTATATAAATATAATATCTTTGAAATCTTTAAAAAATATGATAAAAATTTTAAATAATATAAAATTTAATGTATAATATTAAAAACTTAATTTCTAATTATTTATAATTTTTAATTTGTAATTTAAAAAAAGTGATAAAGTTTGTAATTTTTAATATACATTAATATTAAAAATTAATATGATTAATTATTCAATTCATAATGTTAAAAAACTTGATATATAATTATTATTATTTCAATAATAATTATATTTTTAATAATTTAATTATTTGTTAAATAAAAAATAAAAGATTAAATTTAAAATAGTACAATCAAATAATATTACACTTTTTAAATTTACTTTTCAAAAGCTCTATTATTTAAATTAGCCAAAAGCAATTTAATTACATTTGAAAGGGACTTTTTAAATGAATTTTTAAAAAAGATTAAAAATCAAATAACATCTAGATCTAAAATTCATTTAAAAACTTCTTTTGGTAAACTAAACTAAAAACCAAACAAATCTTTAGTCAATAAGGTATGTGTGGGTAACGCTTCAGTTTAGTATTTGTTTGGTTTTTTGTTAGTTAAAAATTAGTTAATAAAAAATTTTTTAAAAAAATTTGTGGCAGAAATAAATTGTTGTAATGAAATTTATATTTAAATATATTTTTAAAAAAATCAGTTTGTTAAAAATTTATTCAACAAAAATCAATTTAGTAAAACTAATACATTTTCTTATAAGTTAGATTGTGAAAGTTTATTTGAAAAAATTTAATTTAATAAAAAATTATTTATTATAATAAAATTTATATTTGATACATTATTTTGAAAGTTAATTTAATATATTTAAAATTATTTTGATGTTATATAATTAAAAGTATTTTTAAATGTATAATTACTAAAAATAACATTGATTTTTATTAGTTGTAATTTTTGTTAAATAAATTCAATATATTAGAAAAGATTGAAAAATATATATGGTAAAAATTTTAAATGACATAAAGCTTGATATGTTAAATAATAAAAATATAAAATATAAAATATGATATATTGGACAAAACAAATATATGGATAGTTCAATATACTGTACATTAACGTTGAAAATTAGCATGATTAATTGTGTATTCTATAATATTAAAAATTTGGTTTCTAATTATTTTTTAAGTGATGAATTTTAATGAATTCACAGTATTTTTAAATAAAAAATAATAAATTAAATTTAAGATTGTTTGGTCAAATAAATGTCCAATACTCAAATCAACTATCTAAAAGCTCCACCATTTTACATCTATTAAATTCAGTTTCACCTGCTTTAGAAATGTGTTTTTGAATTTGTCCAAAAAGAAAAAGAGTTGTGTTTTTAGAAAGTTGGTTTGGATAAAATTTAAATTCCAAATAATTTTTTACTTTCCTATTTTTAAAAATATCTTTTCACATTCTAAAAATACAAAAACACATTCTAAATATGAAAAGTTGAAAAACCAAACACCTAAAGTAGTTGGTGCGAATTTGCCCCGTCAATATATTCACTTTCTAAAAATTTTTTAATATTAAATTAGATTACTGAAATAATATTTGTACAGTTCATAATATATTTGGATATTCAATTGATAAAATTACAAAAAAATTTAACATTAAATTAGATAATTCAGATCAAATCTGCAATGGCAAGATTAATTATAAACAGATTTTTTAAAAAAATTATAAATTTTATAAATTTTTGCTTTAATAAATATAAAATAAAAATAAAAATTTTTAAATCTAAACAATTTATATCTCATCAATAGTGATGAATAACATGGTACTCATCCTTACTGAGTACTAAAAACAATTCAAATTTAATATTAAAATTGTTCATATTTTTTATAAATTTTTGATTTCATAATACAATATTAAAAATACTGAAAAATAATTTAAAGTGAATGACAGAAATTAATTAAAAATGCAGGAATTAATTAAAATGAAATCAAGGGTTCAAATGAGTCAAACTTGATGAGTATCCCGTGCTTATCACTATGATAAGAATGCCGACGCGTTTCCTGCAGAGGTTATTCAAACTTGGAGGCTTTCGTGAGAAAAAAAGGCTAAAACTTAAGAGGCTCACATATTGTTACTAATGATGCAACGACAACACTTGATAGATTATTTCTTCACCCCAAACATAAACAAAATTATATTAAAATTTCATAAGTTAATTTTTTTTAAAAAAAAAAGGTCAGATTGCACTTTTTACCCTTAAAATTTAAAATTTTCTAATATATTAATTTAGTCAAGAATTTTATAATTTAAAAATAATATTTAATTTCATACAGACTCTTTTTTAAAATTGTAATTTATAGTTCAATATTTTCTTCTTAAGAAGATCAAATTTAAAAATATTTATAATAAAATTCATACATTTTTTGTCATTATACTCTAAACTTGTTTTTGAATTTTATTATCTTAACAAGTTTTAGTTTGTCAAACTAACTTTAAAAAAAAAATCCCAACACAAATGATGTTGAAATCAGTGACTTTATTTTCCTAATTTAAGTTTGCAAACCTCACTTTATTCTAACTTCAGTTTTGTAACTTCTAAGCCAAACACATATTAGTCATTATGAAGCTAGTAAGTTTAGCGAGTCATGCTTATTTAAACCATATTGAACAACCATTTTATACTTGTAGCTGTAAAATTTAAAATTAAATAAAAATATATGGATGAAAAGTATTTATTTATGAACATTGCCTTGCTCAAAATGTTCTTCAACTACTTGGTTACTTGTTAATTTTGTTTTGATCAAGAAGCAGTGATTGTAATGGCTTGCTGATCGTTTTTTTTTTCTTTTGTAATTGTCTTTTTTTTTTATTTTCTTTTGAATTGTAAAAATTTTTTTATGCTTTTTAGTTAATATATTCATTTGATTTTATTTCAAAAAATAAATATTATATATTTTTTATTTATGAAACTATGGACTATTACTATGAGAGTTATAACTGTGCCCAACTTTGGCAGAAATGGGACCTCGAAGGCAAAACCATGCTATCTGCATTGTCTGTTTTTGCCAATAAATTAAAAAAACATACTTCCTTTATTTAAAAATATAAAATATTTTTGAGAGATTGAATATTTAAAAATATAAAATATTTTGAATCTTTTAAGATGTGTTTATTACCTTTTTTTTAAATATTTCATTTGAATAGATTACTTTATATTTTTTAGGACAAAACACTTTACTAAATTAAGATAAATATGAAAAGATTGAATTAATTTTTAAAAAAATAACTAATTTATTGAGAATAAAATTTAATTAAATATTTTATATTTTTTAATGAAAAGAATATTATCCTTTGCAATTGCATGGGCTCACACCCCACACAAAAAGAGGGTTGAGTTTTGGTGTTCATGCCGAGTGATGAGCTCATCACATTAACCAGCAGCATGATGTTTATCATTATGTGAGAGATTTAGATCATTCAAAAATCATTTTAACCATTTAGATTTAAAATTTTAAACATAGAATTTTTATATGAAAGTTATTTTTTTCATATTAATAGTTATAAGATTATCTTTAAATTAAATTTTGAAACTATTAAAGTAAAAATTTGTTCAAGACGATGTTAGTTTGGCTGTGAATAAAGCGAAATTCTTTCAAAACGATGTTCTACCTGAACATTTATGGCGTGGAAGGTTGGCAGTTTAGAATTTTAGAATAGTTTAATATTTTAATTAATGGAGATAAGTTTGTGTAGATATTTAAGCAAATATCCATTTTGATTCAATTTTTACTTGGGTTAAAGGATAATTTCACTACTGAATTATAAGTCTAGGAGTGTCTGAAATTACAGACTCATTTTTCATGTAATATTCTGTTTCAATCTTTAAAATCAATCTTATGTCACCTTATTATTAATAAAAGTTAATTTTTACTTTTAATTCACCAAAAATTACATAAAAAATACAAAAAAAACCCCAAAATATTACTGCAAATATCAAGTTTTGGGTTATTTTCTATAATGTTTTGGGTCTTTTTTATAATTTTTTATTAGCTAACGATCAAAGTTAATATTTGCTAATAACAGGGACGATATTAATTATTTTTAAAAGTTAAAAGATAATATTATATAAAAATGAGTTTAGAAACCCAAATACTTAAACATATAGTTCATAGACAAATTTATCCTTTAATCCTTTATTATTTTATATTAAAATATTATGTTCATACATGGTTATTCATTTTAGGAGAAGAACTTCCTAGTAGTGATGAGTTGTTAAGCTATTCAGTGGACTTAAATCCGTTGGAATTATGAATATCTGGAGCTCTTTGTTGAAATTAACAGTACTTTGACAAATTCATGTGTTTGTTTTCAAACTTAATCCGAGGTAGGGCCCATGTGTCACCATGTCACCAACGCTCCTCCAGTAAACATGAAAGATGTGTGTTCATGCTAGAAAAGAAAAAAAAAAAAAAAAGAGTATGAGTAATAAATAAAGTAAGAATACAGTTAAAAAAATTATATAAAAATTACTCAATATCTTATATTTTAAATCATGCAAAACTTTTAAAAAAACATCTTATAGTGTTATTTGGAAAGAGTATGAAATAAGCAATCACTCTCGCAAGTATATGATATCTCAATAATAAATTACCTGGAGTATTCCAAGTGTTGAATTTACAGGAAAGTTACACTTTTACTAATTTAAATAATTAATAGTTTAAGAAAAATAGATAAAATAAATAATTTTGATGAATAAAAATAAACAAAGAAAATAATGATGATGAAAACACAATCACTTGAAGTGTTGGGATTTAAGATTCACCTAACAGGTTGCTAGTTTCTACCCCCTAAATTGACTCGGATCAATTGTAGTGACAACTATTTATAAAGTGTCCTAATATTCTTCCAAATTATTAGTCCCTTTTTAATTGGTGTTGAATTCGTTCTCATGATATCCAAACAACTAATTAAATCGTGAAGCTATAATTTAAGTCATCATAAATTTCTAGAACTATCACTAACCTAGATATTTATGTTTATTTCTCTAGATTTAGGTTCTCTCTTTACCTCCCAGTCTATCAAGATTATCCATAGATTTGATTAAATGATGGCCACTCATTAAATCAATATGAAGAACAAAAGAAATAAATATAATTGAAAAAAGCAAAAATATTCATAAATATAAGTGCAAAGAGTTAAAACAAAGGAAATAGAAAACTAACTCTGCTGTTGGGCTATATCCCTACACCAACTGGGTAATTTAGAAATACATAATAAAATTAAATAAAATCATTCTAAAATTCTCAATCATGAAAAATGATCACAGAGAAAATTAAGGAGTAAAAAAAAAATAATTATAATTTGTGAAACTCCTCAATGATCCTGCTTTCAGCCTTCAAAATACTTCTACGAGCTCCAAATATCTCAAAGAGAATTCTTGAGATATTCAGATAAGTGATTGGACGCCTTTCCTCTTGATAGAGGGAGTATTTATAGTTAAAGTGAAGGTTTCTTCTTTTGTTCTTTATCGATGTGAAACTCAGACATATATATATATATATATATTTTTTCTTTTCCTTCTTTCCTTCTATTTGATTTATTCTTTTTTTCTGCAAAATATAAAGATAAAAAGATATAAATAAAAAGATATGAGTAAATTTTGTATTAAAATTTTTTTTATCTTATAATTAAGTGATGAGAAAAAAATATATAAATATATTAAATAGATATGAAATCTAAATAAATATAATTAAATTCAAACTAAAATCTACACCTATTTAATTATAAAATATACACTTATCAATAAGCTCAATCCCAGGTAGCTCTCATCCAATGCATCTCACATTCTTGCTAGCGACACTTTGTTTGCTGCCTTTTGCCTCAATACATTTTCAGTCTTCAATGGCTTATTTTTCCTTCAGCTAAAATATGAAATTCATTATGAATTGGTGTTCATTATATAAGGTTGTGGCATAAAAAAATCGTGACTTGTATAATTATGGTGAGATGTTTTTTCAATTATTTGCCCTCGAGTTTTTTAATGGATGGTGCTAATTAATAAGTTAAAAATTATCAATAAATATGCCTTTTGTATATAAATTCTGAAAAGATTGTAAAAATTAAAAGACTAAAATATTCCTTAAATCCTTTAACTTTATACAAAATTTTATTTTAATATCTTTATTTTATAAAATATATTTTCAATCCTTTAACTTTAATTTCATTACAAAAAAAAAATTTTACATCAAACTTTTAAATAATGACAAAATATTTTCAAATATTATTATATCACATTTATTTTTAAAAAATAATAATGACTGCCACAAAATAATTATTTAAAATTAATAATGTTAAAGTTAAAATATTAAAAAAATACTTTATAAAATTAAAAGATTAAATGAAAATCTTATATAAAATCAAAAAATTAAAAGTATAATTTAACTAAATTAAAAAAAATAAAAAACTCCTTTCAAGTTTGATCCACACCAAACCAATCCAAACCAAACCAATTATCCAAAAAATCATAAAGGTGTCGTGGTTAGATGAACCGTTGATCTGATTTTTGTCCAAAACTGAATTAAACCGATCATGTGAACACCCTGTTGTTGACAACAGGCCAGTAATGGGGTGGCAAGTCTGTGACATATTTCCTTGATGTACAGTTTCAAGACAGGGGCAGTTTTGCCCATCTGTTTATTTTTCTTAATTCCCAAAGGGCCATTGGTCTTTCCCCGTCATTTCTGAATTTTAAGGTCACGTTAATGTTTTGGATAGGTCCCCGACTGTCATTCTCCGAATAATCTATGCAGAATATTAAGAAGTTAAATCTTAAATGTTGACCTAAATAAACCAGATCTTATCATCGTCGTTTTGTCCTGAACCATCCAACCAAGTCTGATGTAAGTGCATCCATATAAACTCATCAGGTGAATCAACCTGCAAAACTCCGGAGGCTTTTAGGACAGAAACTAAGTACAAATATTAAACGATAAAAATGGTCACATGGTTAGGATTGTGCCAGGCATGGACTTATAGTTTGGGTGTTTGGTTGAGGTTACCTGAAATAATTTTTAAAAATACTTTTTTAAAAAAATTTATTTTTGAAAAATATAATTATCATCATTTAAAATATATTCTTTATAAAACTAATGTTAAAATAAAAATAATTATTTTTAAAATTACATATGATTAACAACTTTTAACTAATTTTACATTAGTTAAAAACAATTTTTAGATTTTGAAAGAGATTTAAAAATCGTAATGATAACAAATGTTTACAAAGATCATAAACATAATATAATACATAATAACTCTGAACAAAATATAATACTATAAAATAAATATTTTTCACAAAAAGTTTAAAAAAATAAAAATGACATGTTTGGGATGGGATGGGCAAGTTTTGACCCCTGCCCAATGCCCGCCCTATTGAGCCTAAATGGTTCAAGCAGGATCGGGCTAATCGGGCTTTTACACAAAGCATACAACCCTATATAAAAAACAAAGTTTTAAACAAAAAAGGGAGCACATTTTAGAAAAGACCTAAAACATCGTTTACCTTTGAATTCATCAAAACCTTTGTTGAACAACCTTGCAATCCTTTCCCTGATTCAGAATGATAATGGCTTGATCAGAGTAACTATTGGTAGAAGAAAAATGATGAAAAAGTTAAATACTGAAAAAAATATTCAAACAAGAGTCCTGTAAATTGAGAATTTATCAATCATTATGACACTAACGAATTGGCTATTCGTTTAGGTAGTGACGGAATGATGAATGACTCTTATGAGTTTGTTCCTAGGCACCTAAGCTTCTCATTATATTGAACGCGTTTAAGACTGAGGCACTATATTATATTGAGAAAGTACCACGGATGCAGAATGAATATGTTGCTGTGATATAGACCAATCTAAATATTAAAAAAATACATATAGATTTTTCCGTTTGAGTTTAAAAGTTATCAATTGAGGTGAGAGAACCAATCCATTTTTTTTTTAATTGCATACAAGCATATTTTTATTGAAGGTAATCCTATTTAAGAGACGATCAAGTGTTAAATGTGGACACATATTTCAAAATGGATTCAAACCTTGGCTCCTTACCACTCTGTTTACTAATCAACTATGGCTTTAAAACTCCATTGTAGGAAAAGCTATTTTCAGGTCCATCTGATAATCAATTATTTTAAAACTCCATTTGATAATCAATTTTACCCCACCAAAATCCAAACACTACCCTGATGTTTTCTTAAGGAACTTAACCCTCAACCTTGACATGAAGATATCCCTTGAACTTGAGAGGGAGTGTTAGAATAGTAAAAATTGTAATTATTTTAGTCATTTAATAAGTATTTTATGTCGTTTATTGTAATCACAGTAGCCGACGTCAGTGTGTATAAATACCCATGTAACTGCCTCGTCCTACACATAAAGAGATGTGAGAATTCCATACTCGTATTGTCAAGAAACAGAATAGTTAAAGCCAAAATTTAGGTGCTCCTTTGGTCTTATTTATAGGGAAGAGAAAGAGAGTATTTGCTTGGTGCTATTTATGAGACACTTCAATGATTATTGTGTTCATCTTTACTTTTTTTGCCCCTATTAAATGTTGGGAAAGTTATTAAATGCTAAATTATTTTATTTTTAAAGTATGTATATTTAATAGGAGTAAAGTAGGAAACTTGTTGAATTTTTAGACAAAATTAATGAAATTTAAAGTTTTCCTTAATCCTAGTGAAAATGCTGAAAGTGATTTATAAATAGAATAAGAAAAAATAATATTGAAGGCTATTTAAAGGAAGACTAGGAACCACACAAATGTTAGTATACCAGATATTAAAATTTCAGTCACAAAAAACACCAAAACCCAGAAACCAGTGCTTCAATAATTAGAAAGCACAAACAAAGAAAAACAAAAAAGAAAAAGAAGACACCATCATGAAATGACAAAAAGAAAGATGAAGACATAAAAATAAATACTAAGCAGAGTAGTATATTAAATAACTCTCACCAGATAATTCCCACTTGTCAAATTTGACCTGCCATGATCCCAAACTAATCTCTGCAAAATTTACACGATCCACCCAAACTTGAAAGCTTATTCCTTGCTTGTCCCCATAAAACTTTTCAAAGGCATCTAAGATTTGGAGCCTATTTTTTTCAACTCCTGATGGATGGACAAAACTTCCTGCATGATGCTAGAGAAAAGCATAGACATTAAAATGGAACTCTTCAAATCAATATGAACAGTTAAGGGAGAAGACCAGAGATTCATAGAAAATTTTATTCAATAATGCTGCCAACAAAAATAACGTGACAGCGAACATTCAACATTGATTTCTCACCCACCCTTTCGCAAATCAAGAGTTTCTAAAAAACAAGTGCGTAGAAACTATGTGGTAGTGAAAATGCAAGATTAATTTCTCACCCAGGACCCACCCTTTCTCAATCAAGAGTTTCTAAATAACAGTCAGGTAAAAACTAGGCGTGTTAAAGGAGAGACAAAACTCTGCAATTCATAGACCAAATATCAAAAGCAAATTCATAAGTTTTGTTTCTCATGTAATTTGTAATTGGAAGGTATCTAATAAACTTAAAGGAAAATTTTATCAAATTGCAATAAGACCATCCACATTTATGGTAATGAATATTAAACTTCAAAAGGACAACAAGAGTATAAAGTTGGATTAGCAAAAATGAGGATGTTGAGATGGATTTGTGGGCATACACAAAAGATGAAATCCATAATAAGTATATGCAAGAAAAACTGAGTGTGACAAATATTGAGGAGAAGATGATAGAAAATTATTTGAGATGGTTTCGACATATACAATGAAGGTTGTGGGAGATACTAGTGAGAAAAGTGGAACAAATAATCTTAGAACCTGTGAAGAGGGGTAAAGGAAGATAAGAGAGAATACTCAAAAAAATTGTTGAACAAAACCTAATAGTTACAATATATCTAAAAGCTTGGTTGTTGATAAAGTACAATGACGTCATGCAATTTATTTAGTTGACCCCACCAAAACCTAGTGGGATAAGACTTGTTGTTGTTGTTGTTGTTTCTCATGTAATTCTTTAACCAAACCAGAAAAAGTGTTTGGTCTTTCACCCAAAATAAATAAATAAATAAAAACAAAAGAAAAAAGAATGTATGATCAGAGTCAATGAGTCTTTTCTAAACTGATTCAAACTTATTTTTTTCTATATTTCTTTTTTATGTGTCGAGACTATAGTTTTTTCCCTTTATTTCCACCTTTATTTGTTATAATAAAATATAGAAATCCTAATGCTCATTTAAACTAGCTGTGCAAATGAGAGATTCAGCTTTACTTACTGCTAACCATACATGCAAAGTCCAGCAATTCAAAATCTAAAATGAGATTAAACTTACAAAGGTCGATTTTAAAGTTTGCACATTCTGCTCAGAATTCTCAATTTCTCCACGCCGCCATCTCTCGTAAAATATGTAAAACTTCACTACTTCGTGCTCACGACTAAAAAAATTTCCAACTGTCTCCCCAACAATATCTCTTGGAGACAAATTTGGACCTACTGAAAAGTTACCAATGGCTTGTATAATGCCCGCCGAACATCTCTCAGTTGCGTGAATTATTTTTGGATTTCCCTTTGCATTGTTTGCATACCACTGAAGCAATTCCTCCTGAGAATTACTGACCTGCAAGTTCAAGAGCTAGAATAAGAAGAAAACTGAATAAGATATGGTCACCGAAGACATTATTATACTGTTATGAGTACAAGTTTAAAGAGAGAGCCCATTCCAAAAGACTAGTCTATTGGGTGGGAGAACCCTTTACACTTGTAAAACTCACTTCACTTATGAGGCTTCTCAGCGTGAGACTCATGACATATACCATTACATACCATGACACCATAGACCTCAGGTACACTGAAAAGTTCGGCATCATTTCCTGAGTCTCCACAGACAAGAGTGTTGATTGGTCCTCTTCCATCAGCTTTGAATTTTTCAAGTATGTAGGCAAGGGCCTGTCCTTTGCCAGCACCTTGGGGCAATAGGTCCAGAGCAGTGCCACTGCTATAAATTATTTTCACATCTAACTGAGAAAGAACATGTGAATATCATAATGAAACCTCCAAAACCTAAATACAATGGAAAGGAAGTTTTCAAATTTAAAAATGTTAGTAATCATCGAGACAACCTGGGCACATTTATACTCATATGTCAGTTCAGATTAATGAAAAAAATTAGTCTCATGCATTAATGTTTAGGTAAAGCTTTGAAAATGATGTGGAAGAAATTCTGTCATACTGATGGCTTATCAGCTTCAATCTTACCCTTCGTTTTTCTAGACATTTGGAGAGAGCAAGAATGACTTCTGAGGCCTTTCCCTTTTCAACATAAAAGCTAACTTTGTGCGGTCGATGCTCTGTTTCTGGCTGCAGTTACACCAGAAAATTGAAACATTGACAGTTATTACATGAAAACCCATTGTCTCAGATGGTGACTTCTAATGGGTACCTAAGTGGGATGGAAACCCTACCCCAAAAACTAATTGTTGAGGTGGAAGAACTAACCTACTTAAATATTCCATTAAGCATCCCATACTACTAAATGTGAGGCTTGTATCTCATGATACCAAATCTCTATCAATTGGCTATAAAAAGACAACATCCAAGCGACTGCACTCATGGCATTTAACTTGGTCTCCTGCCAATCAAAACCCTCTGTGAGTAGCCTCTTTTGGAACTGCCGACAAACAAGCTCTAATATCAATTAAAGGGTACTAAGTATGGTGAAAAAACCGACCCCTAAAGCTAGTCAATGTGAGGCTTAGTATCCCATATTACCAAATCTCCATCAACTTCTAAAATATGATCATACTATTCCCTCATAATAAATTGTATCAACTAGCATAAGCCCATGCAAAAAAAATGCACGGCCTACAAGTAATTATATACACATAAAGTTCTATGATAACATTAAAACTACAGGTTTGACTAATCTAAATCTTATATATTTGACGATCAACGAGATTATAGGGTAGAAACAAACCTGGGGAATTAGTTCAGGAAACTTGGCCGTTTCTTCTGTAATGGCTTTTCTGTCCCAATTATTATCCAGATATTGTTTCCAATCATCATCTGGCACCATGGATTCACCATAAGCAATCTCAGTACCCACAGACATGATTGTTATATCAGGGGTCAATAATGGTCTCTTCTTTCTTAACCTTCTGTAACTTGTAGGTGATCTACCGGTGGAGAAAACTAGAAGAGAATTGCGCCGATAATAGGCTTCCCATAGTGCGTTAAACCTAAGAAGAGCCAAGTTTCCAGGATCATCATGGTCTACCTGCAGTAAAATCGAACAGTTAATTTCAGAACACCCAGACATCAGTTAATAAAACTAAGCAAGTCATTTATGATTTACCATAGTGCAATCGAGATCAGAAACTATCATGAGGTTGGGAGAATCATTGAGGCGATCCATAAGTTAAGTTTCTCTCTGGGGTTCACAACTTAGAAATTCCCCAAAGGTTAAATGATCAGAATCTTCACCAACGCACAATCATAAAGTCTCCACCTGCTACACGATAAATATATTAAAAAAAAAAACACACACAAGTTTCTTGTCTTGATGTCACTTAATACGATTGAAAAAAGATTTTAAAGAAATGCATTTCAGTTCAAGTTTAACAACCAGTGTACGTGTTAAGAAGCAAAACAAGAAACGGAGATAGGAACGAGTACTGTACTTGAACAGATTCGAAATGCAGAAACTGCCGATTAGAGGAAACTGAGAGGAAATTGCCACTTCACTTCGCTGGGCCAATGCAGAACTAGTCACTTGGGTGTGTATAAGTGCGATTCAGTACGCAGGGAATCTGATCCACAAAGGCACAAACTCAGCAGGATGATCCAAGAAATACTATAAAATTTATAGTATGAAAATCCAGATCGGACCGGCCGGATCAATCCAAAAACCGGTGACCCGATTTCTTGTCCAGTATACTCTTAAATCGATAAGGGATGAATCGGTGTAACTCAATCAACTCGGACCCGATATAACCCGGTTGACTGAGTTAACCGGGTTATTTTTTTTTAAAATTTTTTTATTTTTATTTTTCAGAGCGTTGAGTTCAGAAATAAGATAATAAAAAAAAAGTGAAACTAAAGTCAAAAAATAAAAATTAGAGGTAGAGCACGCTAAGTTCACTCCAGATTTTCAAACAGCATTTAGTTCGGCCTTTTATCTGTGTCTCTCTTCTCTCGCCCTAACCTAATTAGCGTCTCTTTTCTAGCTTAATCTTCGTCTCTTCTTCAAGCTCCAACTCTATCTCCGTCTCTTCTCCAGCTCTATCTATGTCTCTGCTATCTCCATCTCTTCTCTAGCTTAGTCTCTGACTCTCCGTCTCTTCTCCAACTCTATCTCCATCTCTTCTCTAGATTTTTGAGATTGTAGAGTTGTAATTGTAATGATAGATATTTAAAGTGTTGTATTTTATTACTGTTAGACTTTTGAATGGTTGGATTTGATTGAATGTTTTTATAATTAATATCTTTTTATTTAAATTATATTATTTTAATCATGATCGATTTGCCACCGATTCAACCCTAATTGAACCACTAATTCGTGATCTAGTGCCATGACTGGTTCAATAACCGGTCTAATTTTACGCACCTTGCTATAAATACAAACTAAATTTATATCGCATTGGATCCACAGAAATATTTTAATTTTAAAAGATAAAAATGAATATACATATGAAAAATTATTTTAGTATCCTTAGTAAAATATATTGTTTTTTTCCTTTTATTTTATCTTAACTAAAAAGACTTTTTAATTTTTAAAATTTACATGAATCTCTCTTAAAGTTAGTAACTACTCCCTTTATTTAAAAATATGAGGTATTTTTAAGAAATTAAATATTAAAAAATGTAAGATATTTTTAATCTTTCGAGATATAATCATTGTCTTTTTTTAAAAAATATCCCTGTTGATAGTGATTTTATATTTATTATAGGGTGTTTAATATAGATAAATACAAAAAAATAAAGTTAGTTTAAAAGTAGATAATCACTTTATCAGAGGGTCAGATTTAATTAAAAATATTTTATATTTTTAAACAGAGGAGTAAAAGTTACAAAATATAAACATACTTTTTATTTTTAAATTTTTATTTTTATTTATTTAGCTATTAGTTAACAGTTAAGTTACGTATATTAAATTAAAATATCTTTTTTTAATATATTCTTTTAAATTTTATTCATATTTTAAATTTATTAGTTATATAAACCTATTTATTTAGTATTTTTTAAAAAAATTAAATACATAAGTTTGTTAAAATAATATTTTAAACATGTATGTGAAAAAAACTTAATAAAGTAAGAGATAGATTAGTTAATTTATGTTTATGTTTATTTAAATTTAATAATTTCCATAAAATATTTTTAAATTATTATCATTATCATAGTCAATTGTTTAAATTTATATTTTTTGCCAAAAATTGTTTGAAATTCCTTAAATTAGGAAGTGAGATGATAGATAAATAGATTATAGGGTAAAAATTAATAATTAAAAATTTTCAATATAAATACAAATGATAAATTGAATATTTTATAATGTTTAACATAATATTATTAACAATGTGAAAAATGAGATTAAGGTATATATTTTAAAATTAAAGAAAAAAAGGATGCTAGTATATATTTTACTCTATAATTTATTAATTTGTGTAAATTAAAATCTAAATAATATTTTATTTAAGTTAGAATGTGTTGTCTTGTGTAAATTAAAATTTAAGGAATTATTTTTTTCTTTTTTTTCCTTCATTTTTGAAGATACCCCATAACATACAGCTATGAGATTAAAATTTTAATAGAAGTATATCTATAAAAAGCAACATTGATTTTGTAATGTGCCATATACATATTAAAAAATATTAATATTTTTACAATTTCTCACTTCCTGCGGTTTGAAATCAGTGAGGTCCCTTGTCGCAAAAGTTTTGTCAAAATTACTTGCTTTTCACTTCTAAAAAAATGCTAAAATTAATTCTGGTCCCCCCTATTATATAATTTTGCATAGTGGCTCCCACACAATTGTTTATGTATCTGTCACTGTTCAAAATATAATTTATTTTTTTTCAAAATTTTGTTGCTCCATATATCACCTTAAAAAAATTAAACATGTACTATAATAAATCGTAGTACAATTTATATGATGATATTATTTATGAATCATAATTATAATTTTGATAAATCAAGTAAATAATATAATTCATGTTATAATATCACTTATCAACCATATATTCTAGCATTACAAGTTATATAATGATTATTAAGAAAAGTTAGGTGTACAACAAAATATAAATTTATTAACATTATATAATTAATTTGAATACTCATATTTTTTTGCTCACACTTAAGCACGTAATTATATCAATGCTTTTTATAGGTTTTCAAACCATAAACTACTTTTGCATATGAATAATATAATAATAGATTATATACCTTATGTGTTTGAAGAAGGGTAAGACTTGTATACTTAGCCATATATATTTAATATATTTTTATTTAATTAAATCAAAACATGAGAATTTTAATATATTAATAATATGAATAACAAGACGTTGTTATAAATTAAATAATCTATAAAAGATATACATATTTTAATTTAATTAAAAATAAGTATATTAAGCATATAAGGTTAAGTACATAAGTTTTTTTCCTTGAGAAATATGAACAAAAACTTATTTTATATATTCTCACATAAACTATTTAATGATTTGTTACCCTATGTTATTAATAATTATATACAGTAAATTATTTTTATCTAAGCCATGTTATTCCCATGTAAATTTCGTTGCATATCCTATGCCAACTATTTTTACTAAGAATCTTATTGTTATTTTTAATTTTTATTATGAATCTTACATAATCTTTTAAAATATAAAAATTTTATTATTTTTTACACTTGTATAAAATTTTAATATCTACAAACGAGAATTTATATTGCAAAGGTTTTTCATCCTATGTAAATAAATTTTATTAATTAAATTATAGGTCCTACAACCATTTTTTTAATCCTTCTATTATTTTTTTGAAGAATCTTATATTTTTTATTTTAAATTTTACACAATCTTTTAAAATATAAAAATTTTATTATCTTTTATACCTTACTTCCTCTATTAAAAAATATAACTTATCTTTTAAAGAGTTAAATATTGAAAAATATAAGATATTTTTAATTTTTTGAGGTGTAATCATTTTTTTAAAAGTGCCCTATTGATAAATAATTTTATATTTATTATAAGGTATTTAGTAGGGTCAATATGAAAAGATAGAGTTAGTTTAAAAGTAAGTAATTAATTTATTAAAAGTGAGGTTCGGTTAAAAACGCCTCACATTTTTAAATAAAGAGAGTATCTAATTTATAAATATAGGTATCACACTCATGCTTTTTAATTGTAGATCCCACACCCAAATTTGTTACCATGAGTACTATATTTTTTATTTTTTTAATAGAATCATCCATTAACTAATTTTTTAAAAATAATTTTTTAAATTAATTACTAATTTAATTGTATTAGTTATATTATAGGTCCCACACTCACTTTTTTATCATTAGTAATTTTTTTACATATCTAACATTTATTATTTTTACTAAAAAACTTATATTCACTACTAATTTTTATTATGGATCTTACATAATTTTTTCAAAATATAAAATTATTATTATTTTTACACCTTTTTTAAATTTTTTAAATTTACAAATGTAGGTCCCACACCTACATTTTTAATGATAGGTCCCATATCCATTTTTTTTACTATGAGTCCCACAACTATATTTTTTTTTTATTTTTTTAACAAAATCATCCATTAATTAAATTTTAAAAAATAAAAAAAGAAATGCACACTTTTCAAAACACTGAAAATTTAAAATGCTTTAATATTGTGCTTTATTGTAGCCTATAATGTCATCATTATTTTGACATCCTTGTAAATACAAACTGGATTTTGACCTATGCAATGCAAGTGGATATTTTCTTACCCATGTATAGGTACTATAAAAATTTGTTTGAGATATTTTCAAGTATTTGTAAGGATCTTTTATCATCTAAAGGTTAAAAATAAAATAAACAATGAAAATTCTAAACTAATTTATTTTTGTGTACTTGTAATATGTTGCTTTATACTAATTTAAATTTAAATAAAAATTTATTCTATTTTAAAAATTTTTCACCCAACTATATTAAAGATATAAAGAATAATTTATTTTTATATTCAAATATGTTGCTCCCATAATGAATTTAAGAAGGCAACATCTACACTTGTGCTCTTCCTTCAATTGATGTGAGGGAAACTTTGAAAATGTGTTAAAGAATAAATTTTTTATTAAGTTCAACCCCATAATTAATTACAAAATTTATTCTCACAAAATTTATTCTCCAACCAGTATTATTAAATTTTTTAATATTTTCTCCCTCTAAATTTCTAAGAAACAATTCTTATTTTACAATATATTGCCCTCATGCATACTAAAAATTATATATATATATTTTTTAATTTAGCATATCGTGCAAAATAAAATTAACTTATTTTCTTTTAGAATTTGTTGGCCCATGCATCATGAGAAAAATAAAATATGTATCATAATGAATCATACACTAGAATTTATGTCATAATAATCTTTATAAATCATAATTATAGCCAAAAATAAAAATAAATATGAGTAATGATTTTAAATTAAGCAAGTAGAATAACTTAATATTATAATACTATTTATTAATCATATACATGCCTATGATGATAAAAACAACAATTAAGAGAATTTTAAGATTGGGAAGCGTCTAATAAAAAATAAATTCATTAACCTCATGGGGTTAAATCCGAAGTACATTATTGCAATGTTTTCACTAGGTTTTCAAGTTATGGTATACTTGTATATATTAACAATAAATTTGTTATCTCATGCCTATTAAAAATATTCAAAATAACTTATTTTATTTTCACATATCCTACTTTATAATTTGTTACTCCTGTTTATATATAAAAACATAATAAACAATTTGTTATCTTATTATGTGTTACTCTCACATAAATTAAAATTTAAATAAATGGTTATATTTTAATTTTTTTTTTACATATACTCCCTCCCTCAAAAAATACAAGATTTTTTGAGAACTTGAATGTTAAAAAATATAAGACATTTTTAGTTTTTTAAAGTGTAATCATTACTTTTTTAAAAAGTATCCCTATTGGTAATGAATTTATATTTATTATTGGGTGTTTAATAAGAATAAATATAAAAAATAAGATTAATTTAAAAGTAGATAACTACTTTATTTAAGGAATAAGATTTAATTAAAAATATCATATATTTTGGAACGGAGAGAGTATATTGAAAACATAAATACATCCCCTGTATATTAAGAAAATTAGATTTAAATTCTCTGAAGGTAATATATGTAAATTTCAGTGAATTATTATTTTTAAATATTTTTATTTTATTATTTTTATAAAATATAAAGGTTTTTCTTTCTTCCTTAAAAAAGAAAACGCAACAGAAATTTACAGATATCAACTTTAGAAGATCTAATTCTAAACAATAATATATAAAAATTTGTTACCCGTGTATACCAAAAATATAAAAAAATAATTTATTATTTCTATATATGTTATTCTCATATAAACTAAAATTTAAACAATAAAACATTCTATCTCATAACTTGTTATGTAACTTTGTATTTTATTGTACAATTTATTATTATATACCTATACAAAATACAAGCATCATATAGTATATCTCAAACCTATCAGTTACTGTGAATCTTATATCTACTTTTACTATTAATTTTTCATGACCAAAATAATTACTATTAATTTTCTTACCATGGACCCTACGCTTATTTTTTCTACTATGAGGCTCACATGATATTTTAACACAAAAAATAATTTTTATAAAAAATTGTTATTGTTCATTTAATTGTAGATGAACAGTAACAATAATATGCTTTAGATATGCATAGGTATGTCCTTTTTAAAAGTTCATTTTGTTCAAAATCAGTAAGGCAGGTTAATTATTGTAATAAAATTTATCTTTGAACATATTTGTTCCAAAGCTAGTTTACTAAACTGAAAATTTTTTAAATGATATATAGTAAAAAGTACTTTTAAATATATATTAATTAAAAAAAGATGTGAATTTTTTTCATATGTAATTTTTTTATATAAAACTTGATTTGTTACAAAATATATAAATAATATAAAATTTAATATATTGTGAATACTTTATATAATAAAATAATGTATAAGATACTTCTAGGTTGTCTCATTTATTGAGAGAAAATTATCTGCCTTCTCTTTAGGAGAAGAGTTCTTTTTTCTTTCTTTCATGTGTCATTTACTCATTTTGTTTTTATTCATTTTTCCTATCCTTTCCTTTCTCCGGTCTAAGGCGTCCTTCTCCCATTTTTTGTCTCCTTTTTGTATTTTTTGTTTGCTATAGCCTTTTTATTAGCCTATTCTCTAGTATTAGATGTGCTTATTTCATTAACTGGTGTTTAACATGATGTCATTGTTTCTTTGTCACCCTTCTTCCGACCCAATCTTGAATATTTCTTTCTTTTCATCTATACCTCCCCCAGTGCCATCTCTCTTATTACTCATTATGATTATGATGGTAGTAAGTATTAGTAGTGTTTTTAAAATTGGATTGGATTGAAAGGTCTGACCATCGATCGGTTTGACTTAAAAAAAAACTATTTTAGGGGTTGAATTGGGTTGAGCCATTTTGAATCGGCGATCAAATCGAGAACCAGATTCGGTTTTCAAAAATCGGACTAGTCAAATTTTTTTTTATTTTTTATCAATTTTTTTTTAAAAAAATGACTAATTTTTTTAATCATTTGATATTATGTTGTATCATGTGACTTGTTAAGTCATGATAAATTTAAAATATTTTATTTTTTTAAGTTAAATAATAATTTCATTTGTATTTCTTATATTTAAATTATTATATACATATATAATTTTTTTAATTTAATTATTACATCATCGTTTGGACCATTGGTCCAACCCGATTGAACCATGCGAATCGTGAACTGTTGACTTTTTTGATTCAATGTCCGATCCGATTCTGAAAACATTGGTAGGTAGAATATAGTGTGGGCAAATGCCCCCTTAAAATGAAAAAACAAAAAATTACATGAATTTATATGGTAAATCTTGCACTCTACCCCTACTTATATCTATTTTTTGAACTGAGTGAAATATGGCTCAAATCAAATCACTATTAAAATCTTGTACTGAATAAATTGTCCATTGGCTCAGGATCTTTGGTCCATTGATTATGATCATTCTTCCTTTATTTGCCTTCTGTGGTTCCAAAATCCCTTCTCCTTCTTTTTCTCATGGACCCTCTCTTTTCCCCTTCATTATGTTTCTCATTGTTTTATCTTTTTGATAATCTTCTTCTATGCATACCCTATCTCTCTTTCTCTTTTATCACACCTTTTTGCTTTTCTTTACTCCCCTCTAAGATACTCTCTCTTGATCTTTACTTTAAACATGTAATCTTTTTCTAAATTTTTTTGCTTTCTCTGCTATCTTCTTCTCTTTCTTTCTTTCTTTTTTATTTTAAGTGGTCTTCTTTTTTTTACCCCATGGGTTTCCTTTTTAACCCTCAAGATCACCCTTTTTCTCCCTCTCTTTGCTTCCATCTTGCTTCGTTAGTTGCCAGACATTCAGTTTTGCTTAATAAGTTGGGGTTGTTCTTGTAGTTATTCATCACATTTTTGTTAGGCGATTGCATTATTGTTTAAGAATTGCCTCACACCTTAGGAGACATTGCTATTGAAGGACATGTTGGTTGTTTTTATTTAATTAGATTTTCTAACAAAGTTGATTTGGATTTTGCAGTTGCTTACAGTCTGTGTACAACGAACAACCTCTCTCCTTATGGTTGATCACAGAGGTTAGGCTCGTTTAGGCAAATCTTGGCCTATTTCCACTTATATTGATGAGTAATACTTTCGCTGCTTCTTATCTTATGGCATTTTCAACTATTTTATGTATTTTAAAAAAATTAATTTCTTTTTTGATATCATTTAAAAATGTTCGAAGTAAGTATTCGCGGTCAATATCATATCCAGATCCATTTTAGTTAGAGTTGGATCTTCTAATACAGAATATCAATTCTTACAACCTATTCAAAGAATAATTACCTTAGATTAGACGGCTTCTTGGACAGAGCAAGTAAGGTGTAGCGTTAGGTGACTCAGAAGCTACGCACGATAGTCAATGGGCACGGGTGTGGATGAGTCTCCCTGAAAAGAGGAGCTTTAAATCTCCTTTTAGCTCACTTGGTCCTGCCCTGTGGAGATAGTCCCCAACCAGGACCAAGAAGGTTACATAAATTTTTGAAATGGACCTCTGTTTGACAAGTTGTTTTGACTTAAGGCCATAAAATATATTTTATTTTTATCTTTTATTTTAAATAATAATAAAATTACATTAAATACTTTTACATTAATTAAAAAAAATAAACTTGAAAAAACTGATTTAAATATAACAAGATATCTTATATTTTTGAATCAAAAATTATTTTTAAAAAGTGTCCTACAAATAAGAGAGAAGAGAGTATTTATTAAATTCACAATTAAAAACCTACTTGGTGCAATGTAATACAATGCAATTTTGATTATCATGATTCTGTTTAGTATAGTTTTAAGAAAATATGAATAAAAATTATTCTTTCAATATATTAAAAAAACAAAAAGATAAAAATGTCTCCAACAATTACAACTGAGTTAAATGACTCAGTTAGCATGATGGAATGAGTTACAAATAATAAATTTTGGGAAAATAGCAAAAAATGATATTAAAAAAAATTATATCAATTAAAAATTAAAATAAAATCTAAATAAAAACAAACCGAAATAAAATGTCATTAGTTTAAAATGAGTCATTAAAATTTAAATAAATATTTATTAATAAAATATTAATTTAAATTAATAAATATTTTATTTTAATAATAAATAATCCTAAATTGATATAAATTTTTTTTGAACAATCCTTAATTTGGTTGATATTTTTTCATAAATTTTTCTTTCAAAATAACAATAATAATAATAAGAAGAACAAGAACAAGAAAGAAAGAACGAGCCTCACCGTTTAACGTTACATTTGGTAGGTAATTATTTCAAAATCTTACCTCAAAACACTCCATCAAATTGCATCTGTCACCAAACGATGGATACACTTCCAGATCTACCGGATTCTGCTGTCATTTCATGCTTGTAAAGCTTCCCGAGGATTTTGTTTGTATAACTCAGGCCTCAGTCGCTGATCCATGGAGTTCACTGACTCTTACAAGCAAACAGGCCCCTGTTGTTTCTCACCCAACGCTCGCTTCATAGCCGTTGCCGTCGATTATCGCCTCGTAATTCGGGATACTCTGTCTTTCAAGGTATTTTGTACCCTCTGCCTTTCTCGCCGATTCTACGTATCTCTGTAAAATATCTCCTCCGGCTCTGAACATGGTAAAATTTCAATGTGGAGATATAAGCTAGAGGTTGGTAGTGGCACCATGGTGGAGTTTAGTTGTTTGAACATTTCAGAACTCTCTTTTATTCCCAGCCTCCCCCTCTGAGTTGTGTTGTGTGAGGGGTACTGCACACTATTTCTTTCACTGTTTTCCGAGGAATAAAACATTAAATACTCTCTTTTATTCACCATGGTGGAGTTTGCTTAAATTTCACTGTTTTCTTTCACTGTTTGAATGTAATTGTAATTTCGAATCAGCCGCTCAAGAATTTTGGTAACGGGTGTTGATTTGGAAAAAAGCCGCTAAGGTCATTCTAGTTTGCTTTCATCATTTCAACTTTAATAATGGGGAAATCATTTAAAGAAAAGGAATCTGAGCATTATTATTATTTTTTTCCCCAATCACTGCGTAGGTGTTTGATGAGTTGCTTAGCATGGAACGGCTAAAGTGGATCGAGTTTCTTAAGGATGTTGTAGCACGGCGAGAAATGACCTCCAAGACTACTCCTTGCCGTCTGAAATTCATATTTTTTTATCCCTCAAAATTGGGGTTTAGTAATGAAATGAAACGGATAGATGGTACAATTATTATCATATATATCTTAGTAAAAAACTTGTAATAAAAAAATGAAGGGTGATACTTAAATTTATTGGTAATTCTATTCTGTTCATGACTCTTTGAATCTCTTAATTAGACTCCCAAACAGCAGAGCGAGACATGACTTGTTTGCCATTTCATGTCATTTGCCATTCTGTTCAATCCTCTGATGAATTCCAGATCATAGCCTTAGATTTTGATGATTGAGGCAATATAACTATCTAGGAAGCAAGCAAATATTGATGGGATATTTGTTTCTTTCGTCTGTATTGGAAAAAAGGGGTGGGGGTTTGATTTACACTGTGGATCACGGCTTCTAAAGCTAAAGTTTATGAAATTTTTGTTGGAAACTAGATAATAGTACTGTAAAAGTTGATGTTTGAGTATAGGTATAAGTTATGCTAGGTACAGTGTGATACAATTTAGTTTCAAATTTCTATATTAAAAAATGCATTTGGCCCTTCACTTGTAAATTTAAATCTTCTTCATGGGCATTACTGTCATTAAATTTCCGTTTGACTTACTGATCAAGCAGCTTGTTTCTGACTCAACATCTGGATTTGAAAGCAAACATATTTCTCATGCAGGTTGTGCAGTTGTTCTCCTGCTTAGACAAGATTAGCTATATTGAATGGGCCCTTGATTCTGAATATATTCTTTGTGGTCTGTATAAAAGGCCGATGATACAAGCTTGGTCACTAACCCAGCCAGAATGGACATGCAAAATAGATGAAGGTCCAGCAGGTATTGCATATGCTAGATGGAGCCCAGATAGCCGCCACATACTCACCACAACAGATTTCCAATTGCAGTTAACAGTTTGGTCATTGGTAAACACTGCTTGTGTGCATGTGCAATGGCCCAAACATGCTTCTAGGGGAGTCTCTTTCACTCGAGATGGAAAATTTGCTGCAATTTGCACTAGGCGTGATTGCAAGGACTATATCAATCTATTATCTTGTCACACATGGGAGATAATGGGCATTTTTGCCGTTGACACTCAAGACTTGGCTGATATTGAATGGTCACCTGATGATAGTTCTGTTGTGATTTGGGATTCACCACTTGAATACAAGGTAATAACCTTTTTCTTTGTCCTGTGAACTGTCCAAAATTTGGGAGTCAGTGTTTATAAAACGTTCCGGTTGAAAGAAATAGAGCTGATAATATGAAAGATCCCACTGAATTGAACTGGACACGTAAATTTGAGAAATTTAAGAAATATTTAGAATCATTGATCTCATCATGAGCAGCATAGCAATAAAAAATGAAAAGTAAGCTGCACTCTTCATAAGCCATGAACATTGCAGTTCATTCCTCATATTCTCGGCAGTGCAGGGGGAAATGTGCTTAGCTGCTTTATAACCAAAATGTCCACCTTGATTTTCACTGCTTGTGTCCGCTTGCTTTGAGAGGCCTGTGGTAGGAGGTGCTATTAACTATGGATTTTACATGGGGAGAAGCCAGGAGACTTGTCCTGGCAGAATGAAAGCCAGAAGCCAGAATGTTGGCTTCTACTAAAAGGAAAAAATAAATGTTTTTTTTTCTTTTTTTCTTTTACTTGGAGAGGATCATGCAATCCTATAATCTCACATTGGTCTTTTCATGAAAGAAAAGATTTTTGAGAAAGTCAGGATAATTTCACTGGTGGGAGGATCAATATAATAAATCAAATCCAATAACTAGTAAAGAAGCATCTGCATCAGTGTCAGTATCAGTGTATCAATATGTTATATTTATCTACCTACATTTTGTTTGCTTCACTGTGTCTGCTCATATATTGCTTAGGGCTTGTCAATGAAACATAATCTACCGGTTGTGCAGTAGAATAGTGCCAGTAAGTTGTGTTGTGCTTGCATTGAGGAGAAACTGTTATTGTGGTTTAACATAGGTTCTAATCTATTCTCCCGACGGAAGGTGCCTTCTCAAGTATCAACCATATGAAAGTGGATTAGGAGTTAAAAGTGTCTCATGGTCTCCTTGTGGTCAGTTTCTGGCAGTGGGTAGTTATGACCAGATGTTGCGAGTTCTGAATCATCTGACTTGGAAGACATTTGCTGAGCTGATGCACCTATCTACAGTCCGTGGTCCTTGTTTTGCTACTGTTTTCAAGGTAGTCCTTTTTTTAGCTTTCAAGTTTTTGATGTTGCAGTTATGGGAAATTTATTGACCTCTTTCTGGAAATTGTAGGAGGTAGATGAGCCTCTGCAACTTGATATGTCTGAATTATGCCTGAGCGATGATTTTTCTCAAGGAAATGATGGTAGGCATAATTACTGTAGGAACCAGCATACTATTTTATAGATTTACACTTTGCAAGTTGTTTCATATATATAGTAATACAACATCCAGTCAGTTCCTATCTTTACACTTTATGCACTGTAGCAATACTTCTCCATGAAGCATCTGGTGTAAAAATCCACTTAGGTTTAAGTGGCCCAAGAGCTTCGAATTTCAAACTTTTGAATTTCTATGTACTGTAAGGCTGTGAACATATATATTTTTCTTTTCTTAAAAATGTTATAATAAGGGTAATTGCCTTAGTTAGAATGAGCTTGTAAGAATCCTATTTATTAGGCTATGTTTGTCATAAAAAATAAAGCTATCCTCTTAGATGTAAAGGAACATTGATAAGAAAATGTTGATTCTGTTAGTTTGGTGAGTAGTTAAATAGCAGAATAGGTTGTTATATTCTGTCAACCCTTGCAAGCTGGACTTCATATCTGACTAAACTTTATAGGTTTGTATCAGCCATTAATATTCATTATGCATGTCAATTGAACTCGTGAGTGTTCTACTTCTTTTCTTGTTCTTTCTATTATATTTCTTAATCATCTCTTTTTATTTTAACCTCTTGTGACGAATTAGTTTTTATCATGATATTGAAGCTTTCACGACCAAACAAACCATAAGGGGGATCTTTGCTTTCATCATTCCTCAAATTTAATTAACTTTTAGTATGAGGTATGATGGGCCTCCGCTTTGTCCATACCTAAAACCAAAAAAAGTTTTCATTTGAAGAGGCAGGCTGGAGATAAATAGTAAAGCCATCTCTGAGCATTCTCTTAGTAGCTTGTAAGCCTTTGGGATTATTTGGTTCTTAATAGAACACAGCAATTGCTTGCTAGTCAATCTCATTCTTGGTTTCTTATCTTGAAATCAACAGAAATTAAACAAATCAGGACTTTACTTTTTTTTTCCATAAACTTATTGCCTATGGTAGAAGCTGAATATGTAAGGAAAAGAATTTCAAATCCCTTTATTTATCCTTGGCTTTTTCTTTGAAGGTGTTACAGCCTTAGAGGCATTAACTAAACCCAAAGCATTGATTCTAATTTATTACATCCCTGATATTTGTTAAGCATGTTGTTAGAAGCGTCCGATTTCTTCAGTATAAAAATTTGGAATCTAGCTAGAACTTCCCCCCTCTTTTCCTTCTTCTTTTGATTATTAAATCAAAAGACTTAAGTAGAATAAAGATTTAAACTTGTAAACTGGTGGTATATCAATCATTCCTTCTATGTCTTGCGATGTAAAAACTAGTCTCTTGATCATTCCAGTAGTTTTCTCCCCTTGTCTCATTCATTTTTAAATTTTCTTTTCTAGCAAATGTACCAGAAGCACCCTTCAGAGTGAGGTACGAGGTTATGGAAGTACCTATCAATTTACCATTCCAGAAGCCTCCTGCAGACAAACCAAATCCCAAACAAGGAATTGGTAAGCGATGCTTTACTTTTGTATTGTCACAAAATAAATTAATGATATCAAAAAAGGGTGGAAAAAATTGAGGCTATTATTTTCTGGTCAAAAGGAGAAGGGCAATAATTTATTTTTTACTCCAAAATAAAATAATGTCTTGTCTCCCATTATCAACAAGTAATATGAAAAATTTGAAATATTTACATTCATATGGCCTTTTCTTATCTTCATGATAATTTGGTTGCTTAAGTAGGAGTATGATAGAGCTCATGATTTTACTAAGACCTATAAGAGGAAATCAATGAAGGCAATGAGCTTAGAAAATAACATTATTGTTGGTTCGGATGTTTGCCCTCTGGATGCTGGTTATAAGAAAAAGTAATTGATGGTCTAGTGATGTGTTAGGAGCCTTCTAGGGGTAAGGGTTGTGTTAGAGTCAACTTTTGGGTCTTTAGATCTTCCTCTTTGCCTAGAGAGAGGGGAGTATTTTGAATATTGAGAGTGGTGAGGAGAGCTGTGGCCTCTCGATTTTGTGCTGGGGGTGGAGAAAGTCATCTTTCTTCATCATGTTATCTTCTGCTTAGTGTATGTTTGTGAGTGACTGACTTATATTTTGTGATTGTTGTTTGGTGGAGATATTTCACATAGAATTCAAGCTGGGTGGTTTAATTGGAGAAAAGCTAAAGGAGTTATTTGTGACCGTAAGGTGCCTAATAAACTTAAGGGAAAGTTTTATCGTACTGCTATCAGACCGGCAATGTTATATAGTAGTGAATGCTGGGCTCTAACGGGACAGCAAGAGCATAAAGTTGGAATAGCAGAGATGAGAATGTTACGATGGATGTGCGGACATACACGTAAAGATAAAATTCGAAATGAGCACATATGTGAAAAAGTAAGGGTGGCACCTATTGAGGAAAAAATGGTAGAAAATCGGTTGAGATGGTTTGGGCATGTACAAAGAAGACCAAGGGAGGCACCAGTGAGAAGAGTGGAACATATAACTTTGAGTCCGATTAAGAGAGGTAGAGGAAGGCCTAAGAGAACACTCTTGGAAGTTATTGAACGTGATCTCTTAATTAATAATATTTCTAAAAGTTTAATAAATGATAGAGCACAATGGCGTCTTGCAATCCATGTAGCCGACCCCACCTAGTGGGATAAAGGCTTGTTGTTGTTGTTGTTGTTGTTGTTTGGTGGAGTGTATTTTGTGCTGTTTCTGTTTCAGTACGCTCTAATTTTCAGTTCCCTATTTCACCGTAATCCAACTTTGCTATTCAGTAATAGTAATTTTCAGTCCCCATTTGTAGTGTAGTTTCTGGTTTATGCTTGTTTAAAGCTTATTAGAATAGAGGGTTCCATTAGAGTACTACTAAGTGATCCCTTTTTGGGTCTTCTTCCTGAGGTGATTTCATCGAAGGGAAAACTTATATATTTAGCCTTATATACTTTTTTTTTTTTGAAAGAAATTTAGCCTTGTATACTTAATGTTCTCATTTTCAATTAAATTAAAATATGTGGATCTTTTATAGATTATTTATTCTATAATAAATTATTTTTATTAACATATTAAGATACATTTTCCATGATTTGATCAGATATAAGTATATTAAGTGTATAAAACTTAATACATAAGTCTTGCCCTTCATCGTCTAGGATAGTGATTAATATAAGGATTGTATACCATGAGATATGATGTAACATCTCATTCTGAATCCTAAGTTGTTTGTCAACAATGTGGAATTTTCTTGTTTATATTCCTGGTGTTTAATAAGTGACTTCATTTACTTTATTTCAGTTCAAGATGTAAACCCCCCTTTTAAAAAAAAAAAGAAAGCAAGAAAAAAGATTGAAGGGAGAGAGGGAGAGAGCTTTCACATTACTCAAACTAATTAATTCAATCATTCATCAAAGTCTACCTTCACATGGTGCTAGTGCTCTATTTATAGAGCAAAATATCCTACCCACCTGCAAAAGTAATAATAGGCTCTTAGCGTAGAAGATAATAATAAGTTACAACTTAGGTTGCTTCTTCATGAAGGAAAATAAAAGCAAAAATACAATAATCATAAGCTACTAGCCTAGGTTTTTTAGAAGAAGAAAACTTATAACTAAAATAATAAAATAACATAAAAACTGCTTCCTTCTAAAGTAATGTTTCTTATATTTTCTATTAATTCTCCCTGCTTCAAAGAACTCTCCTCTAGAGAGGTAGAGAGTTGATAGGTTTTTAGCAGAATCAAATTGTCGAAACTCATCTTCTGAAATCTTGGTGGCATCTTCATCTGAATGACCCTTTCAACGAACCAAGTAACGACGGAGGGGCCCTTGGAGATAAGGATAATTTGATCATCCATAATGATCTCAATTCCTTCAATTGATGGTGAGACTGATGGCAGTGACGGGACTAACACATGAGAAGTTTAAGCACTTGCAAAATATTAGAAAGCAAAAAGGGAGGCCCAAAAATTCCCCAATAAGGCATAAGATCCTCCATATTAAAAACTGAATTTATGGTCATATCAAGAAGTAATTTTAAAAGATAAGCATTAGGCTCTAATTTCTTAGATATGCGAAAACGTCTAGAAGATCCAGCACGTTAACTTTTTAAAAGTGTATTTAGGATAATGCTTTGGACAAATTTGAGCCATAACATCGTCACCTACATTAAAGCTTTGAAATCGGCGATGGGTATTAGCAAATAACTTGTATTGATCGTTACTCATTTTGCTAATTTGCATCTAATTTCATCATGTTAAGTCAAAGGAGTAGGTACTAAAAAACTCATACTGTGTTTGAGAGCTTAATCGACAAGTTAATGGACCGTTGGAGAAAGGTTACATCCAGCACAATATGACTTCTTGTGTAGTATTTGCTCTTTTGAATTACATGTTGAAATTAGGCACAAATTAGCAATGAGTGATTATTAATATAAGTTATCTGCTAATACTCATTGTTGATTTCAAAGTTTTAATGTAGGTGACTATGTTATGGCTCAAATTTTTTCAAAGCATTATCCTAAATATTCTTTTAAAAAGTTGAATGCAACAGCTTCTGGACCTTTTCGCATATATAAGAAATTAGTGTTTAATACTTATCTTTTAGAATTATCTCTTGATATGATCATAAGTTTAATTTTTAATGTGGAGGATTTTATGCCTTATTGGAGAACTTTTGAGCCTCCTTTTGAGGGGGCTCCCTCCATGTCTCAATTTCTCCCTACTCTCTCTCCCTCTGTTTGAATCTTTGCAAGTGGGTGTGTTGCATCAATGGGATGGGGAGCACTGCTCCAAAAGCTTGTCGTTGAAGTCGGAAAACCAACTTATTTAAATGCTTCATTGAGTCTCACATACTTTTTAATGTGAGACTTAGTATACCATATTACCCAGTCTCCATCACATTTTATGAGCCTAGGATTATCCAAAATGTGCTGGTTTTCTACTTTTGCCAATTGAAACTTGTCTTATTTTGTTTGATGTTCCCTAGCACCGATTGAACCAAAGTTTGGTGTCTGTGTCCAACCCAAAGAGTTTGTTTTTATATCTTTCTTGAGCGTGGTTGGTTTGCTTCTCTATTTCCAGTTGGTGTGTCTGTATTTATTTTTCAGAAACTTCCTGAGCCAAGTGACCCAAAGAATTGCGTTTCTGTCTCCAACCTAGGGAATTTGAATGCTGACTTTGTATAACTTTCTCTAATTCGGTATTTGGTGCCTACATGTGCTGTTACCGGGGTTTCTTTCTGGATTCATTTCTTAAAAGTTTTGATAGGCAGCATGGTTATTCTTTGTACCATATGGCAACTTGTTATTACCTCCTCATAGAGAATCAGAATGGCATTTAGTCAGCGTTAAGCATCAAGTTCCCAAACAAAATTAAATCTACTTTAGAAGTCACAAATTCATAGTAAATACTATAAAATTTTATACAAGGATTATTAATTGAGGTCAGGCGGTGCTGTTATAACCAAAAAACCATTTTTTAAGAAGGCCTAATGCAATCTTCCTCCTTTATCTGGCTTAGGATTGGCTGTAAACAATCAAAGACATGAAAAGCACTTTTCAAGAAAGTGGTTATTTTAAAAAGTCAATCTAAGTAGCTTATTAAAATAAATTGAAAACATGTATTTCCCCCTTGGAGGTGATTATTTTTAAAAAGCTTAAAGAACAATTAAAAACAAACAAATCCCTTATGTTTAGCTTAATTAAAATCACTTTTTTATAAGCTTAAACAAACGGGCTTGATGTCTTCAATTTGTATCCTGCTGCAGTTATGACTTGCGATATATACACTTTCCTTTCCAAAGTATTTTCTTGGAAGTTGTAATTATGGCTTTTGACATTAAATGGTAAATAGGTATCTAATAAGTTAAATTTCTTACTTTGATTATCATTGATGTCGTGAATTAGTTTGATCTGACAATTAGATTTATTTTACATATCTCACTGTCCTTCATCAATCGGTCAGTTAAGTGTAAACTTCGCTATGTTATTTTTATCCACATTTTGAATTTGAATGATCTCAGCCTCCCATGACAATTTGTTACGCCACTCATTCTGTTCCGTTGGATTAGTTGGAGTAGTTAGTTGTTAGATAAATTGTATCCCCAATAGGCAGTAGCTCAAAAAATTACAGATGAGATTAGATGTATGCGTATGAATGATTTGAATAACTTGCCCTAGGTTTATAGCCAGTTCCAAGCTTGGATAAAGGATGATAGTTGTGTTAGTCCTTGACAGCCAATGTAAAACCCTATCGAATCTTAGATGGATATGGATTGAAGGGTAGAGGAAGACTAAAGAAAACACTTATAGAAGTTATTGAATGAAACCTCTTAGATAACAATTTTTTTAAAGGCTTAGCCACTGATAGAACATCATAACATTGTGTAATCCATGTAGCCGACCATACTTAATGGGATAAGGTTTGTTGTTATTGTTGTATGATGAATAATTTGAAGCCAATCCCTAGCCTAGATGAAGGAGGGTGGTTCTGTTAGGTCCTTGAGAACTAATGTAAAACCTAGTTGAATCATACATGGATATGGATTGAGCGGTAGGGGAAGATTGAAGAGAACACTGATGAAAGTTGTTGAACGACTTCTTAGTTAACAATATCTCCAAAGGCTTATCTACTGATAGAATGCAATAATGTTATGCAATCGATTTTACCTAGTAGAATAAGGCTGCTTGTTATCATTGTCATTGTATTAATGATTTGAATACTACTAATGCGTTTACTTTTACAATGCATCGCATTTGTAGGTCTTTTGTCTTGGAGCAATGACAGCCAATATATTTGTACACGAAACGATAGCATGCCTACGACACTATGGATATGGGATATTCGACATCTTGAGCTTGCTGCAATCCTAGTGCAGAAAGATCCCATCAAAGCTGCAGCATGGGATCCAACATGCACTCGTCTTGTTCTTTGCACTTCAAGCTCACACTTCTACATGTGGACTCCTTCTGGTGCTTATTGTGCTCATGTTCCTTTACCACAGTTCACAGTAACAGACCTGAAATGGAATTCGGATGGAAGCTGCTTACTCCTTAAGGACAAAGAATCATTTTGCTGTGCTGCTGTACCCTTATTGCCAGAGGAGTCTAGTGAATACAGCTCAGATGATTGATGCTTCCAAGAGAAGAAAACAAATTAACGGTAAACATGAGCAGCTCGCTTTATTTCTTTACATTTGGAATTTGGAATTTGGGCTGAGATTTAGTCTGTATGTGGGCTCTACGGCTTAGTTTAGATGGAAAGAAAAGTGGGAAGAAAATAAAGAAGAAAGAAAACTAAGAGAAGAAATTTCTAAAATTAGTAATTTTTTTTTTATTATTTTACTATTTTTAGGAGTTTTCTTTCTTAGTTTGCTTTTTTTCTTATTTTACTCTCCATCCAAAGGAAGGGTGCATGTAAAAAAACGAATTTGAGCCGTTAATATATGTGAGCCTGTTTGTTTAGGTGGGGCAATCATGCATAACAATGTTGTAGGAGTCTTTTTGGTGTATTTGTAATTGTAAAGTGTATTTAATAGCCAACTCACTCCGTTCTTGTGGGAGTACATGTTATTTAGCTGAACCAGACACGTTTTCTATGCTTATATGGAGATTTAAGTATGCCATGCTATTCATGTCTTATGAAGAGCATGCTTTTCTTATTGAAACTATAATGTAAATTTTTTGGAAGTGTCTTTCTCAAGCTCGAGTCTGTACTCCTAATGATTAGTTTATTAAAGCAATTATTGGTATATTTAGATTAATAAAGATTTAAATTTGAATCAAATACCTCATTTGGATATATAAAAATTTATGAATTAAAATTTGATTCAAATTTAAATCCATTCCCAATTATATTTTTTTTATAATTTTAAATTTTCTTTATATTCTACTCATTTAAAATTTTAATTATTTCAAATATTTTTTTTCATATTTTTATTATTGATTTTTTTAATCGTATCTTTTTTTTATTTTTTGTTGATTAAAAAATGTAAATAAATTTATCATTTTCAATTTGTCATTTTTGTTTTGAATTTTAGTTTATCTTTATTCTTCATTTGAAAATTTTAAACTATGAAACAAATGATTTTAAATATATGAATTTTAAATGTGAGATATGTGAGATTTGTAATGTAAGATTTTAAATTTAAAATCTAAATTCAAATTTAATCAATTCAAATACTACTTTAATATTTTGTTATAAGGGAAAATTAATTTGGAAGCGTTTATAATTTCTTTTAATTTTAAATTAGGTTTATGAAATTTATTCCCTGTTTTTAAATATAAGAATACCAACCAAATCACATAGTTTAAAAAAATTAGACTGCAAGTCTCAGTGTGTTGCACAGAACAAGTTTTGTTGTCTAAATTAGGAATAAAGAATTTAATACTTTGAAAATTTGTTAGATTAATAATTTTAAAAAAATATGGATGTATATTTTGAAAGATATATTTATGCACATCATTAGCCTGAAGATGATGAAGAAACATGTAGTGTGCTTTAAAAATAAAGAAAACAAAAACAACAATAAAATATTTGATGATCCACGAAGAAATGTTGAAAATAAATTTGATGATTGAGGCATATCCTATTTTAATTATTGTAATATTACTTTTATTTAAATTATTGTGAGTACCTTTTAGGATTTTCTCAATTATTGTTATCTTTTAATAATATTTTCATTTAATTTTAGGGTTTTTAAAATATTCTTTTATCTATTTATAAGGTTAACGTTGAAGCTTATAAATATTGCCTAAACTCATTCACTTGGTATATATGTCTTTTACTGAATACAAATTGCTACTGTTTAACTATCACTAGTTTTTCTTTTATCCCTAATTCTCTCAAAATTTAAGAGAATATCAATCGGCTAATACAGTTTAAGAAAATTAATAATAATTTTAACACTCCTTCATTTTCAAATGTAAGAGCTTTTTTTTTTTTTAATTACTCTTAAACATGTCAACGTAAGGTTTTAACTCTAAACTATTTTTAAGGAAAGGTGGCATTGTGCCATTACTACTGAGACAGCTTGACATTAACAAATGATCAATACTTATTAATTACATTTACGTCATTATTCATAATGACAGATTTTAATATCAATTAATATAAATTAGGTAAAATCATTTTAAGCTAAACAAATTAAAATTCACATTAACTAGCATTGAATTTTAAAAGTAATCATTGAAATGCTTAATGGTAATGGTTAAACATGAATTGAGGACATGTCCCACTGACCAAGATTAATGTGACACATCATCAAGCTAAGTTGGGAGCAAAAAAATAATTGAGGCATATCAAAGTATGTCTGAAGAGACCTATGCTTTTATATACGCCGTCCATACCATAATATATGACTTTTTTCATTTGTTTGATTTAAAATATAAGATATTAGGTAGTTTTTAAAATTATTTTTTCAACTATATCCCACTTTTTTTTTAGAAAAAAAGATGCACTAGAATTATCATTAAAGCATTTATATAAAGTATTTAATTAGAGTATAATTAAAAATATATACTACAATTTTTTCAGAGATTAATGTTTTACATTTTTTTTTTATAAATGCAGTAGTTATCAGCATTCTATGTTGCAGTCTAGAAGGAGTATATATAGAAGGCTAGAATTAAATCATAGTTATAAAAATGCCCTTCAGCCACCTCCACTCTTTCCCACTTCTCTATTCTCTTTCCCTCCACCTCCCTTTTTGTACCATTCCTCAAATTCAAATTTGATATTTGATGCAAGTGATTAATCAAGGGACTAATGAAAATGTTTAATTGTTATTTTTGAAGGAATTTGGAGGAGATTTTGGAAGGAAGAAGAAGTGGTATAATGAATGGAAACTTATTTTTATTAAAATATGTTATATTTTAATATACCAATCACTCTTAAAAATATTTTCTCTGATTCTTTTTATAAGTCACTTCTATAAATAACTTACCAAAATTAAAGTGACTTATAATAATAAATTTATTTTAAAAGTAATTATTTTTTAATTTTATCCCTAAATTTAAAAAGATTAATTTGATATATGAAAAATTTTTTTAAAAAAATTAAAATATTACACTTTTTTTAAAAATTTGTTAGAGAATATATTTAAAATTGTATATCAAAAGTTATAAAAACTAAGAAAAAACGACTTGTATAAAAAAGCAAGACAATTTTTAAAATGTGATTTATAAAAAGAATCAAAAGAAGTACGTAAGCACGTAACTCAATTAATAGAAGGTCGGGTTAGCTTAATCAATGATTTAAAATTTTAATCTTCATAAATATCGTATTAAAAAAAAAAACACAGGAAGTGTCTCAAAACTGAAACAGTACAGAGAAATTCTGCTGAAACCGCGTAGATCGTTACACTGTTTTTCAATATTGGAAGGTCCACGTGTGGACCTTACCTTCTCGATAGACTCACTTTGACATCATTGCGTGTTCGTGCAAGGACGGCAACCATTTTAATTTCATCATTGCGTTGCCAAAGTGACCGACAATGATAACAAAATGTCAAAGCAAATAACTCACACTATTAAAAAATATAAAATATTTTTAATTAAATTTTATTTTCAACAAAATAATTATTTATTTTAAAATTAATTATATTTTCTTATATTTATTCCAATTTAATATATTATTTTACTTTAAAAAAATATAAAATGATTTATTAATTATATTTTAAAAAATTAAAAATATTTTATATTTTTTAATATCAAGTTTTTTAAAAAATATATTATATTTTCTAATAGAAAGAGTATAAATTTAAGAGTTTTAATTATAAATAAATATTTAAATATTAAATATAAATTTTAGATTGTAATAAAAAATTTTATTTATAATTGTTTAAATTAATATTTATAATTTATTTTGTAATATAATTTCGTCCAGACTAACTATTATTAATTTCTCCTTTTATGACATAATTGCCGTTCTCCCAATCTCTAAACTCTTCATGCTCCCAAGTTGCTAAACTCATAGTCATTATGAAAGTTGTCCATATTTTTTTTCCCAATACTAAATTACTATCTCGTTAAATATAAGACAAACTGTTACATGTTATTTTATTTTTTTAATAAATAAAATTATTCATTTCAATAAGTATTTATCATAATTTTTTAAATTAATTTTCATAAAATTAAAAGTTTTCATTTATGAGACCAGATATTAGTACAGAATTGTTTCACTAACATGGTGTATTTTAATCTATTTATTTTATTTTTAAATATAATTATTATATTTAACAATTTTTTTAAATTGTGTGAGTCGTTTACTTTCTTTTATAATGGAGAGAGTATTAGTGACAGGAGCTGAAACGATTTAAGCATGGGATTTCGTGCCTGAGTTTGTGTGAATATAATAAATGTTTTTTTAAAAGAGTTACGTCTACTTAGAATTCAATAATGCTTAAATACGATTTAGCTAGATAATCATATTAATAACAAATAAAATATGGGTTGGAGACAAATCATTAAAAAAAACGTATGTTTAAAAATATTTTATAAAACATTTTAAAATTTTAAAAAATTAATAATTTGATCCTAATAATTTTGATTTAATTATAATTTAATTTTTAAACTTTGACTTGTTATAACTCAATTGTTATATTTTTAAATCAAATGTAACTCAATTTTTAAATTTTGAATCTTGCAACTCAACCTTTATAGTTTTAACAATTTAAATATTAATCTTTATATTTTAATAATAAAATTATAAAAGTTAAAATTATGTCAAAATTTGGACGAAATTTTAAATCACTAAACCCTTTTAATCTTCATAAAAATTATGAAAGATTAAAATTTTAAAATAATTATAATTTTTATAATTTTATTTTTTAAAATATAAGAAAGAATATTTAAATGATTAAAGTTGTTGGAATTGAGTTGTAATAATCAAAGTTTAAGGCTTGAGTTTTGATTGGGTGAAAATTATAAAGATTGAGTTATAATAAGTTGAAATTCAAAAATTAAATTATAGTTGAATTAAAATTATATGAACTAAATGATTAATTTTTTTTAATATTCTAAACATATTATTATAAAAGAGGACAATCGCTTAAAAAATTGGATATTATATTTGGGGATGGAGAGAATTTCAATAAGTAATAATTGAGTCGTAACCCTGTAAATTTTCAATTTTAGTTTCTAAGAACATGGATAGCATGTATTAACTAACTTGTATGCCATGCAAAAGATATGATTGAGAACCTAATGAGAGGAAATTTGAATGAACTTCGTATTTTTTTGGGACAATTGAATGAACTTGTTTAGAATAGAAGCATCAAATCATGTTCTATATATATCTCATATCCATAATTCAGGATTATTTTTAAAAGAGTGTTGTGGCATATAATATAATATGATACCCTTCATGAGATTTCCCTTTCATAATATATTATAGCATATTTTCAACAGGGGTGAACAAAAATGAGCTAAAATTGAAGATCGAACCAAATTTAATTTATTTAATTCGGTCTATTCGATTATATGGTTCAATTTAGTTTTCTTTTAATAAAAATTTTAATTGATGTGTTCAATTCGATTTGAAAATTGTTGAACCAAATAAATTGAATCGACCAAATTATACATCTTTTTTCTGTTCATATTTTTGAAAAGGTGAATAAATTCTCATTTAAGTGAGTAAGAAACATCTTTCTACTACTTGTAGTAGTAGTATATTTTTTTAATATGATGTC